TTTTTCCTTAGTCAGTCTGGTTAAAGGTGTGTCAATTTTGTTTATTTTCTCAAAAAACCAATTTTTTGTTTGTTGATCTTTTATATTTTTTTTATTTCCATTTCATTTATATCTTCTCTGATCTTTACTATTTCTTTTCTTCTACTAATGTTGGGTTTGGTTTGCTCTTGTTTTTCTAGTTCTTTGTGATGCATCATTAGGCTGTTTATTTAAAGCTTTTCTACTTTTTTGATGCAGGCATTTATTGCTATAAACTTTCCTCTTATTACAGCTTTTGCTATATCTCCTAGGTTTTGATACGTTGTGCTTCATTTTCATTTGTTTTGAGAAATTTTTAATTTACTTCTTAATCTTTTCATTGACCCATAGGGCATTCAGGAGCATACTGTTCAATTTCCATGTGTTTGTATATTTTCCAGTGTTCCTCTTGTTATTGATTTCTAGTTTTATTCCATTGTGGTCAGAGAAAATATCTGATATGATTTCAAAATTTTTTGAATTTTTAAGACTTGTTTTGTGGCCTAACATATGGTCTATCCTTGAGAATGATCCATCAGCTGAGGAGAAGAATGTGTATTCCGCAACTGTTGGATGAAACATTCTGTAAATATCTATTAGGTCCATTTGGTCTATAATGCATATTAAGTCCAGTGTTTTATTGTTGATTTTCTGTCTGAATGATCTGTCCAGTGATGAAAGTGGAGTATTTAGGTCTCCAATGGTTTTTGTATTGGGGTCTATCTCTCTCTTTAGCTCTGATAATATTTGTTTTATATATCTAGGTGCTCCAGTGTTGGGTGCACATATATTTAGAATTATTTTATTCTCTTGCTAAATTGACCCCTTTATCATTATATAATGACCTTCTTTGTCTCTTTTTACAGTTTTTATCTTGAGATCTATTTTATCTGATAGAAGTATAGCTACTCTTGCTCCTTTTTTTGGTTTCCATTTGCACGGAATTATCTTTTTCCATCCCTTTATTTTCAGTCTATGTGTGTCTTTCTAGGTGAAGTGGATTTCTTGCAGAAAACATATAGTTGGCTCTTGCTTTTTTATCCATTCAGCACTCTGTCTTTTGACTGGAGAGTTTAATCCATTCACAGTGAATGAATTGTTGAATAGAAATACTGAAGAACTGATGGTTTCCTAATTATTTCTGAGAATCTGCAGATTACTGAAAAAGAGAACTAATAAAATGCATATATTAAAAGGAGGAGAATTAGTCTAGGAACTACAAATGATTAGCTTAATTTTATAACTGTAAAAAAAACACCAGTGTTTCCCCAAAGTTTGAAAATAGTTAGAAGAATTATAGTTTGTTTCCTCCTCTCCTGCCAAGGATTACGGGCTAATCTATATGCATACCTCATATTATTGTGCTTCACTAATATTGCACTTTTTACAAATTGAAGGTTTGTCGCAATTCTGTGTTGAGTGAGTCCATTGGCACCATTTTTCCAACAGCATGTGCTCGCTTTGTTAACCTTTTTTAATAATAAAATATTTCTAAATTAAGGTATATACATTTTCTAGACATAATGCTATTGCACACGTAATGGACTACAGTATACTGTAAATGCATGCACTGGGAAACCAGAAAATTCATGCAACTTGCTGTATTGCAATATTTACTTTATTGCAATGGTCCGGAATTAAATCTGAAATATTGCTGAGGTGTGCTTGTATTTTAAAAAGACAATAAGAATTTTTTACAGTAATGGGGTGTTTGAGGTGCATGGTTTTATTGTGTTTGATGAGAATAACTTCTAACACTATGAAACAAGTAACTAATTAAATTGACAATCAGCTTAGTAAACTTTTTGTAACTCTAGCTAGCAAAATAAAATCACCTAACTAGGGAACAAGCCAAAGAGAAAGGTGTAGTTTTAGAAAAACTACAAATGTAGTTTAAAAAAAATATGTACACAGCCTAAAAACATTCAGATTTTTTCAAAATGGTGTCCAATGATATTCTAATGAACTATTCCCTTTACAAGGGAGATTAGCTTCTCACAGCTGCACGATGACATTTTGTGGCTATTATCAGACACATCAAAGACCTTGGGCCTTGTGTTGACTTATGTAAAGAGGGATTCATCTTCCTGAGGATAGGTTGATAAGTACGGTGAATTTACTGCAATTCTCTATATAACAGACCTTTCAGATATCTGTAATAAAATAACGGTGTGCATGTTTACCATAATAAGAAACTACATTTGCTTGAAGTAGTAGTTTAAAATGAAACAATTTGGGGAAAATTTCAACACAATTGAGGATATTTGATGCTATTAAAGAATTACTGTTATTTTTTTAAATGTAATAATAGTATCGTGGACTTTTCTTAGACATTTTTTAGGAATATTAATATATACTGAAATATCACTTCTCAGCCTTTTGGCTAAGATCAGGTGTGAAATATATACTGAAATATGTACAGATAAAATGATGTATGTTGTGTCTGGGATTTGATTTGATCCTGCCTACAACCCAATAAATTAGCCTGATATTATTTTATGGAGACTGGCAGATACGCAAGCCTCTTGGGTTGAAGACGAAGGCCTTTATTACCTATGACACAGTAAGCAGCACAAACATCAACATATGTGTGTTGGTTTCCCTTACCCTCGGGTGCTTGTTGAAGCTGGGTTTTGAGCGCGTGAAGCTCACTACAAAGTCATCCGTTAGTAAAATACCCCTTTTGCTAAAAGGTACTCAGGAGTCCTTAATATGGAAAGAAAGCAGTCTTGGTATGGACAAGTAATTTCAGTTTTATTTTCTTCCAATGAAGGGTACTGAGAGCTGGAGAGAGCCTCCGTTTCATGTGCTCTTCTGGTTCTTTTTTAATGCATGGATCTAAAATTAAGCACAGTGCTTTTTTTGGTGATAGTACATGCCAGGATGGCATAGCAGAACATTTTCCTTTGAGCAACACTGAGATACATCTGTTCAAATCAGTTACCAACTCAATTGACTCATTTAGCAGGGATATGGAATTCAAAAGTCATCATATGGATTGAACCACCTAATCCCTTTGCCACTAAAAATATTAATTAAGCCCCTCTTTATTCCCCTCCATAGCATCTATAAATTCACACCCAGCATTTTGTGAAACTTCTGCATGCTGGGAATTATATATGCAGGTGAAAGGTCGCGTACTAAACAGTTTCTCAGCACCCTGAGGGTCAGAGAGAGTGAGGTATTTTTCAAGTTATTTTTAGCAAAAATCGTGACACTTGTTATTCATCAGCTTATTGCCATTTTAACTTATACAAAATTAAGAAATTTTTGAAATTTGGGAGAATTCTCTTTCTCTCTGCGAAGGGACCAAGAGAGTAAACTAGCAATTCACAAGGATATTTGATGGTATAATACAGTTTTATGTCAGGAAAAAAATCTCTTTTCCTCTAAGTAAAAATGAAAAAAAGCAACTAAATTAGCATGGCTTGCTGGAAAATGATTTCGAAAGCCCACTTTCCAAATCAAAAAGAGAATTTGGGTAGCATGCTATTTGTGTTTATTAAATGCAACTTACTTGTTTTAGTACTCCATTGCTGTGGAACAAATGACTTCAAAACTTAGTGGCCGAAAACAACTCACATTTATTGTCTCACAATTACTGTTGGTCAAAAGTCCAGGGGTGGCTCAGCTGGGGACACTGGCTCAGGGTCTCTCATTGAGCTGCCATGAGCCTGTGGGCTAGAGCCATAGCACCTTCAAGTTCTCTCATGTGGCTGTTGGCAGGACTCAGAAGATCCAAAGAGAGTGAGAGGGAGCATCAGTTACAGAAGCCACAGAAGTGACATTCTATCACGTCTCCTTAGAAAACATGTAATACGTCCAGCCTACCCTCAAGGGGAGGGGATTACACATGAGCGTGAATACCAGGAAGCAAGGGTCACTGGGGGCCAGCTTACAGGCTGTCTACTAAGGTTCGTTCCTTTTATTTTATTTTATTGCAGAATATTATGGGGGTACAAATGTTTTGGTTACATGAATTGCTTTTGTACAGTTTGAGTCGGTTATAAGTGTGTCCATCACCTATGGAGTGTGCATTATACCCATTGGGTGTGAATTTACCCCTCCCTGCCTCCTCCCTCCCTCCTGCTTGATTTCATTGTGTTCATTTTAAATGTAAATTGTTTTAATGGAAAATACGTTCTCATAGTTAAAAATTAAAAATGTACAAGGGGGTACATAGTAAGACGTCTTCCTCATACCCCTGCTAGCCAGTGCCCTCCTTGAGCAAATCGTTACCATTTTACTGTGTATTCCTTTGAGACACATTCTGTTAAATATCCGGTTGAGAAAGTAGGATTCCAGAGGGTGCAAGCAGAAAGCCACTTTAATCTTCTTCCCTCTACTTAGACAGTTCAAACCTGCTTTGCAGAGATAACTCTTCCTCATCACTTGGATGAAATCTCAAGTGGGTACTTTTATTTTTCAGCTCCCTCTCAGATAATAAGGAGTCCTCCAGTCTTTCTCAGTCATAACATAGTTTTGTTTCGGAAATAAAATATCTAGTCCTGAGGAACAGTCAAACTTGAGACTTTGAGGTTAAAGCTTCTCCTCTTCCTTAGCGTGGGCCTGCTTCGAGCGGGACATGTGCGATGAGAAAAGGTGGAGGCCTTGTGGTCAGCGTCTCCGTTTCTCTGTTTTGTGCTTCTTCCCTTTGTCTTCTGCCTCTTTCTGTCCCACTGGGTTGCCTTTGTCTCTTTTAGGGTTGGGGGATGGGAAATGGGTGAACAGAGGTAAGGCGCTCTTTTTTCAATTTCAGCTCTTTTGGCTTCTTCACGGATTTCCTCATGGAAAAACATTCAACTCTAGCTTTCTCGAAGTTTGCACGTTCTCTCCTTCATTACCACTTGCTGCCAAGGGTACGCTGGCAGCCGCTTGGCGTTGGGGTCATTCAGCCCTGGCAGGAGGTCTCGTGGGCAAGGCACCCTCCAGGACAGCTTGGGAGGGCTGGCTTTGCCTCCCTCTCCTCCTCCCTCTGGTTCTGGGAAATCGCACACACCCTTCGTAATAGCCTAGACTCTTTGGAAAACTGGTAAAGACTGTCTTCCTCCTTGAGGGCTTTTAATTTCTCACACCATCTTGCTCAATTCCTTTAGGAATTATCATATCCTGGGAACAAGGAATGCTCAGTGGATCACTCCAGGAATTAGAATCCATAAGAGGGGCTGTATCTGCTGGTTGATCTAATGCTTGTCTTGGATGGGTAGGAAGTGAAAGATTTTTCTTGTAGAACATACTTCCCACATGCTGAGATACCTTTGAAGATGAAATAATTATAGTAATTAAGACTGAATTCTTTCAATAACCCAGCATTAAACACAGATGGCAGGGAGGCTGAGGTAATTTCAGGCATAGAGCATCTATATATTGTAGGGGTCACAATTCTAGGACATGGTGGGCTTTTGCTTTATCTCAGAATCATACAACGTTTACAGCTGTGAAAACCAGGTATCAAGATAGCTCTAACTTTCCAATTCCCCTTGCAGGCCTGGAAGGCGCTCTGGGTGGGTCAGTGAGTGGGGAGTGAATATGAAGGCCCAGTCATTACTATACACTACTGTAGACTTTATAAACACTGTACAAAGACTACACTAAATTTATTAAAATCTTTTTTTCTTCACGAACAAATTAACCTTAGCTTGCTGTAGCTTTTTTACTTCATAAACTTTTTAGCTTTTTTCAACTTTTTGACTCTTTAGTAATAACACTTAGCTTAAAACACAAACACATTGTACAGCTGTAAAAAATATTTCCTTATTTATATCCTTATTCTATAAGCTTTTTTCTATTTAAAAATTTATTTTTCTTACTTTTTAAACTTTTTTATTACAAACTAAGACACAAAGATGCACGTTAGCCTAGGCCTACACAGGTCAGGATCAGTGACACCACCGTCTTCCTCCTCCACATCTTGTCCCACTGGAAGGTCTTCAGGGGCAATAACACCCGTGGAGCTGTCATCTCCTGGGATACTAATGCCTTCTTCTGGAATACCTTCTGAAGGCCCTGCCTGAGGCAGGTTGTTTTACAGTTAACCTTTTTAAGTAGAAAGATCACACTTTAAACTAACGATACTAAGTATATACGTTAACCAGTAACATAGTCGATTATTATCATTATGTACTGTACATAATTGTACATCGAGTATTATGTACTGTACATAATTGTATGTGCTAGATTTCTATGAGTGGCAGCTCACTAGGTTTGTCTACACCAGCATCGCCACAACCGTGTAAGTAATGAGTCGTGCTATGATGTTACGACAGCTACTACATCACCAGGTGATAAGAATCTTTCAGTTCCATTATAATCTTATGAGACCACTGTTGTATAAGCAATCTGTTGTTGACCTAAATGTCATTATGCAGCACATAACTGTATATCTGAATTCCCAAATCCCAGCCATTTTTTCTTTGTCCACCCCTCTCCTTATGTGCCCAATTCAGACCCACCTAACTTTCTATTCTGGAGGGTGGGTTTCCTTCTTCTTGGCCATGCTCCCTATAAAGGGGCTTTGCTCTTGATCCCCCTTTTGGAGGTTCAGACTTATTACTTTATCCACTGAAAAACTCTTGCATACTCACTTTCTGGGACTTCCAGATGTTACTTAGTTCCTTCCAATTCTGCTACTTCAGCTGGGCCTCTGGAAGTTCCCCATCCCAAGGACTCTACTACTATCCTGTTTGGTTGAAATCTGCCATCAGCTGGGCCTTCTCCCCAGCTTTTGTGGAACTCCCACCCTGTTAGGCTGGCAGGTGGCATGTGGGGTATAAAACCTCAGTTGAGCATCCTAGAGGCATGTATATATATTAGATGGGAGCACCAAAAATGAGTGATAAATCAAAGCCAAAGAAAATGTGATTTGAAAAAAAAATTATGAAGTGTCATTTTAAGTATGTCAAGAGATATAGTATTCTCACTAAAGAAAAACAAATCATTTAAAAAGTGAATGCCAACCACATTGTACCAATGTTAATTTCCTAGTTTTGACAACGTACTATGCTATGAAAACATTAACATTAGGAAAAGCTGGGTGAACTCTCTGTACTGTCTTTGCAACTTTTCCGTATCTAAAATTATTCCAAAATAAAAAGTTGCAAAAAAGAATGCCAGTAGAAACATTAAAGTATTTACATTAGAAATAATGAACATCTTTACCCTAAAAATTTGGTTTTTGAAGGACATTCTGGTCCTGGCATAAACGTTTACTGTAAATAGGTGCAGTCCTGTATAAATTCTGGGGCAAATTAGTTGCTGCTTTATGATTTCACTTTTAGGAAGCTCATTTTTTCAACAAATAATTATTGGCCTGTTATGGGTCTTGCATGTTCTAAGGATACATTTGCCCACAAAACAGATAAAGATCTCCTCTCTCATGGAGCTTACAATCTAGTGCGGGCAGGAAAAATCTACAGTATCAATGAACAGAACAAATAAGTCAATTACATTGTGTGATTGAAGGTGCTAGGTGTTGTGGGGGAAAGGGGAGGCAGGAAAAGGGCTAACAGGAATGTGCGTAGAGCTGGGCAGTGTGCAATTTTAAATAGGACTATCAGAGCAAGCCTCATTGAGAAGGTACAGTTGAGCAACAACGAAGGCAGTGAAACACGAGGACATGGGGGAAGAGCTTTCCAGGCAGAGCGAACAGCCAGTGGAAGGGCCTGCAGACAACGCATGCCCAGAATGCTTGAGGAGCAACCGGGGAGAGTGAGCACAGCAGCGTTACCGAGGGGGAAAGCGTAGATGGTGAGTTCTGGAAGGGAAGGATGGTGGTTGGGAGGAGCACAAAAGATAGAGGACTTTGGCTTTGACTCTGAAGGAAAGGGGGAATTATTGCAGGGTTTTGAGCAGAAGAGTGACATATCTGCCTTATGTGTTAAAAGGATCACTTTTTACTGTTTCGTGAATCCACTCTGGACAGGCAGGGCAGGAGCAGGGAGAACAGCTGGAAGGCGAATGCAGTGACCCAGTGAGAGATGACAGTGCCAAGACCAGCATGGAGCAGCGGAGCTGGCGGGAAGTGGTGCACTGGGGCCAGCTTGCTCCGGCTTGCAAGAGCCAATTAGTAAATGTTTAGGATGTTTGCAAGCCATTACTAAAAATTAAATCAAATTAACTTATAATTAAATTGTATGGAAAACAAAAGTTATAATAATAAGTGCTCGCAACTCATCACTTCTTGTTTTCACCTAATGATTTTGCTATTTTTATTATTACCTCTGCCCTTTGGGTTATTGATATCTGTTATATCTGAGACACAATACGTCCACTGTGTCTGCTGAAAATACTCTAAAATGGGTGCTGGTGTGCATCTCTTCCCAGTGCTGTCTTCAGTGACATTCAGAGTTTGTCAGCCGTGGAGGGAGTGATTTACACCCCAGAAACTAGCAAATGCTACAAATCAGGATTCGTTTTGTTTTTAAAGAGACCTAGTTGTTAAACATTTACCAGCACACCACTGCTTGATGGCTTGCCAATGACACGCGGAAACGTGGTATCCCCCATTCAAAGTTATCGGATTCCTTCATTTCTGTCATGTCCCCAACCACAGAGGGGAAAAGCTTAATAAAGCAGTTAAATAGTATTACTTATATTACAACAGGATAAAAGTAACATATTTCTCTTAAGCTTCATGCCATTAATACATATTTAGTTATGTAAAATCAGCATACCTGTGATTGAATTTTTAGTGCTGGCCCTAGTTTTAATCCCATAGTGCCTCGAAGATGCTCTTCTGTGAGTAATGGCAAAGTTTCTCCATCAATTGCATGATCTTTAAATACCTTAATAAACACAAAAGGTGTTAATTTTGTCCAAATGTCTTTTTTTTTTAAAAAAAGTTCTTGTTTTATATTAGATAAAAGTTTTGGAGGACACATTAAGCCTGAGGATGGCAGAAAAATTTATAAAACTGCTTTTTAGTTGCTCTCTTTTCTGTGCTCCAAGGGTACATTGTGCTCTTTAATAACCCTTGGAGTAGACTGTAATTCTCTGTTTATAGAACTCAACTCCAACCTCAAATAGTTATTCTTTGAGGGCAGGGTCCATGCCTTATTTACCAAGCAGCCCTAATGCGGTGGCTGGTTTATGGTAGAATATGTGAAATAAACATTGCTGGATCAATTAATGAATGAGAAAATACTCTGAGAAGAGGAATGTGGGTAAAACCCATCACAGACAAATCTCATCGCTCACATTTACAGAGGCAGCGTCCTCTTGTGCGCTGCTTTCGGCGTATGGTGAAGGGAGGATAGGAACGTGCAGCTGAGCACTGTCACCAATGGGCCTTTGCAGCAGGGCCACTTTTGTTCTGACTCGGTAGTGGATGTGGCCATGCCTTCCACGACAGAGTCAAAAGAGTCAGAGAGGCTGCGGGTGGACAAAGAGTCCAGGCAGATAAAGAGATGGATACAAAAAACTAGACAGATTGATAGCACTGTAATTTCACAATCTCCAGCTTCAGCTTGCGTAGCAGTCCTGTGTTCACTCATGAGATTTCTCTCCCCTCTGTTTCAAGCTTTCCCCATCCTCCTCAAACTTTAGACCCTAAGGAGTCCTCCCACATTTTCAGCAGGTCATATAGCTTTCTAATTTAAAAAAAAGAAAAAGAAAAGAAAAATAAAGAAACCAGTAGATAAGAACTCCTCTAATTCTGACCAATAAGCCTAAAAACTTGTATCTTCTCTCACTGCCCTGGTACCATGGAAGAGAGGCCCCTGCGCTGTTTAAAGACAACCTCTCCAGGTACTCTGTGGGTCCTCACCCCTCCATGTCAGGGCCTCGCTCGATGGATGACCCCCTCCTTTGTCTCCCACCTCTCCTTCCCACTGGCATTTAAGTAAGTCTCCACATGATTAAACAAACAATAATAATGTAAATATACAAACTCCATCTCTCAATACTGCCTTGTGTCTCTCATTCCCTTCACAGCCGGATTTCTCAAAAGGGTTTTGATGCTCCCAGCTTTCATGTTCTCACTTTCCAGTCATTCTTCAGTCTCAAGCAGTCTGAGTTCTGCCCCCACTATTCCATTCAAACTGGTGCCTCCATTGTGCCAAACGTGGACATTTTTCAGTCCTCCTATTTCTGAGGTTCCTGGCTGCATTTGACATTGTTGACTGCGCTTTCCTGAGCAATGCTCTTCCCTTCCCTCCATGAGCCTACTCCCTCCTGAGTGCTCCTCTGCCTTCTCCTTCAAGGTCGCCTTTGCTGGCTTCTGTTTCAGTGTCAATCCTTATGTGTTAGGGCTTCTTAGGCTTCTGACCCTGGCCCTCCTTGTCTTCCTTGTTCATTTCAGCCTCTCACTTGGCTTTGATGCTGTTTCTATATGCCGGAGGCTCTCTAATATATGTCTTTAACTTAGAAGCTAACTCGTGCCAATTGTATGTCTTAGGTAGGAATCTGCCTGCTCTCACTGCTCCTACCCTAGATCCAACTCCATTACTGCTCATCTGAGGAGGCTTCCCCTCTGGTCTTGTCCCCTTCAAACTATTTTCATAAAAGCAACCTGAGAGACCTTTCTGAATCATAAAGCTAATCATGCCACTTTTGCTTAAAACTTTCACCGCCTTTAGGATAAAGTCACAATCCTATACTGGGTCTTTAAGGGTCTTGTGACCTGGCCCCTTCTACCTCTCCCATGTTGTTGTTCTTACCTCTCCCACCTTGGACCTGGCCCCTGTGCCACTGGAAACTGCTCTCTAAGCAGCCGTACTAAGTTTTCTCTGGCTTCTGGCCCTTCCTTGGAGATTCCTCCTTTACCTCCCTCCTGCCTCCCTCCCCTCCTCACCTTCAGGTCTCACTTTAGAGGCCTCTTCCTTTAGGAGGCTGCGGGTCCCTCTATGTGTTCCCACTGTGCCTCATACCCCGCCCATAGCATTGATGTGGGGTGGTTCACTGGTCTCCTTCTGGACCACGAGCTCCATGACAAGAGCAAACACATTGTCTCGTTTCGTTATGTGTTCCACGGCTCAGGACTAGCTGAAAGAATTTTTCTTGGAAAGCTCCTGTTCCAGGAAGAGCTTTGTGTTCTAATAGATTTTAGGCATTTACAAACTAATTTATTAATTATTTCTTTTCCTATTTTAATTAAGCAAATCATAGAAAATGGCTAATATAACTTAATTTGGGCCAAAGCAAAAAGGCTGGCAGTTTGAGTTGGTCTGTGTAGCCTTATCTTGGGGTAGTGTATGATTTCTCTTAGGTGTTTTTGAAATATCAAAACAACACGAGGATCTCTCTTACCACCTTTATAACTCCTAGGGCCCAGGGATCCTTGGTTGGAAACTGTACGGCTCAATATCCTCCATGTAGAATAATTATAATTGACAAAGACAGGTTTGAAGTCACATACACATTTTTTAAGTACTTGCTTTTTTAGCTAACTTGATGCTCAATTTTACTCAGCTGCAAAATTGGGCTTAATATCTTTTTTGTGGAATGATGGTATAAATCATATATAAAAGATAATCTAAATGATGTGCCTGGCACATGGTCCATAATACCTAAGAGTAGGTGTTAGTATCAGTAGAAGTTTTTCTAAATGAGAGAACCAACATAGAAAAGGTTGAGTTGCACAAGACACACAACTTGTCAATTAGACATCTTGTACAATAACAACATATAAAATAACAGTTCACGATTCTGATCCAGGATTTCCCCTGCTCTATCCCACTGCCATTCAGACAAGGGAATGCTGATGAAAATGGTTAATTGTATTTATAGTGGAAATCATACCTCATTTCTCTTTCCTAGGGTTTCCAGTGAGGGGTGAAGGGACCATTTGTGAGCCTCCAAAGGAGGAGGAACCACATGGATAAATTTTCAAACAGAGGTAGGTTGGTGGCCAGGGACTGAAATGTGCGAGGACCTAACCCTCAGTCATGGTGGATGTACTCAGGGCCTGAGGCAAGGACACGGTACACGTCCCCGTTGCTCAGATGTGCCCCTTCACTCTCACCAGAGCACTCTGGGCCATGTGTGCAATATAAATGTGCACATATTTTTAGTAATTTTAGTTATTTTTAGAGAGAGACTATTTTATCTGCTAAGGGTTTTGAACTAGACATTTACTTAAAACAAACAAAATGGGTTACAGGGTCTCTTGTATGTCCCTAAACAGCTGGGCCACCTACCCTCTCCATACATCTTTTTAAAAGAGTTCATTTGCATAGGGGCTTTGGGTTTTTGTTGTGGTTATTTTTTTCTGAATTTCTTTTCTACCTACAGGAGGCGAGTGGTTGGAGGTTGCTGATAGGCACCTGAGGCAGAGGTGAGGAATGAGAGGACGGGGGAAGATGGTAGATATAACCTCAACTGGTCCCAGGGGCTTGGTCCGACCTGTTTAAAGAGAGGCTGTGAGTAAAAACTGTGGGACATTTTAGACAAGGGTCCTCGTGAGAGCTGCGCACGAGAAGTGCTGCTTTAGGGCTATTGCACCTGGGTGGGGGGATGTTTTCCCATTTCTGCGTAGAATAACATCACAGAGCAGAGCAGAAGTGCACAGCAGAGCAGTGGCACGTTTCAGTTGATGTCACCTATAGTCACTTGGAGGGGGTAGAGTCTAATGAGGAAACAAAAGCAGGACTTGATCCTAAACGCATTTGAGAAACACCTAGAAATCACTGGTACCACTTCTTGGGATGTGGAAGGGGCACTGGCATCTGTCAGTGAGAGATAATGAGTCAGCAAAGTTTGGAGTGTTTATGTTGATGTGACTTCTATGTACCCATAATGGGACATTTGGGATTATCAAGTATGAAATGCATGTAGCATTATTTATTGCATGAGCAATTATTATAAATTACATCTTTATGTCTACGGATCACTGATTGATTAAAAATAATCAGAGTTCAAACAAATTCGATCTCCCAGAAGTCAGCAATCACATGCTCATACAAGGAGTTGCTAGTTTCTGGTTGTTATCAGAATTTAGTAACTTCATTGTACCAGTGGTTGATGTGGCACTTGATAAAGTGGTATAGATAGATTTAAAAAGTGACTTAGCCATGACTAATGACTAATAATAAAATAATAGGGTTATATTCATTGAACAGGACATTTTTTTTATCAGATTATGTAAAAAACACAAAAATAGGTGAGTTGACGAATACAATTTGCCTCATAAGTAACTTGAGGTTCTGCTTTCTGTAGGATATAGTGATGAAATTAGCGTTTATTGAATACTGACAAGATGCCAGGCACTCTTTAATGCTCACAACAGTCCCTTGAAAATTTATTATTGCTATTATCCCCATTTTACAGATGAAACAACTGAGGCACAGAAAAGAGAGGCAATTTGTCCTAGGTCCAGAAAATAGAAAAGCCAGGATTTGAATTTGTACTTTCTGGCTTCAGAAGCCATACTCTTAGTTACTACTCCATATAGCTTTCCTGTAAGTCCCATAAACAGCACCAAAACAGTAATAATAATAAAAGGAAAAAAGAAAAAGAATGAACAACATCACACTATAGGAAAATATTTCACAAAACTGAGATCTGAAAAAAATCAGTTCTAACATTAGTTAATTGTGATGCCATTAAACCACAATGTTCTTGTCTTGCTTTCTTTTCCTTTAACATATAAACCAAAGATAATGATACTAGATTTAGTAGACGCTTTGTTGCTTAGAATTGTATTATTAAACCACTCGAAAAAGTAAACTATATGCATGAAAATGTAGCATTGACATAAACTTCCAAAACTTACCAACCCATGACTTTTGTCACCAACTTTCCCATATGAGTGAGGCTAGTTTTCTTACTAACTGTCCCGACATTTTATAATTCTAAAAAATAGTATTTACCTACCAGATTGAATTTTATGTGTGTACATTTTTATATTGTCCTAGCATAAATACAGAATTTAAAAATAATTAATTTCCTATTTTCCAGATCTATTGATTTCTTGTCCTTTTTAGAATGAATTATATATTTCTGTTATTTACCAAGAGCAGCCCCAAACTCCTAATACAGAAGTATGCACTCCAAAAATGTTTGCTATATGGATGAGTAGGGAATATAGTAGACATTTCTCATTCTTTTTGGATGTTCAGCCTCTGAACTTCCTTCTAATTTTGGGAGAATTCCCACTTCTTAGGAGTCTTGGTGGGACAGAAACTAACGCCAGATACTGGCTCTCCCCGCCTCCCCTGATGCTGGGGTGGCCCAAGCTCTAGCAGTCAGAGGCACCTGTCCCAGGGAGACTGGCATAGAAAAAGGAGGGTGGTAGGAATCTTCTCTAGGGGAAAAAGGCAAGTTTGACGAAGCTCATTATATAGGAAATACATTTCAAAGAGTCTTACTTTTAAGAAAATACTTCAATATTAAGTCACCTGAGCATAGTCTGAGCAACCTGGAAGGCCACTAATGAAGCTGTGTACATCATCCACAGTCCATTTCTGAATATCTTCATCCAAAGAAAGATTTCCCCCAGCTGTAACCAGTGCATGTGTTCCTTTAAAACGAAAGGAAATTATTTTGTGGTATAACATTTCCAGGGAAGAGCGGAAGCTGAGAGCTGGAAGGATCCTTAATGATAGCATTATTTTAAGTATACAAAGAAGTTCTAGATTTGCTCCAGCTTCTCTCAGATTCCAACAGAATGCCCTGTGGATTTAAGTCTCCAGATTAATGCTACTATGTTCTGTGATATTATGTGATTATCATGCTCTCTAGGTGAGGCAAGAATTTAACTATATCTTCACCAAAATGGCAAACCAACACTTTGTAGGGAAGCAGTTGGTCTGGCGGCTATATTATGCACACCCCACAATCCCCGTGTTTTAAAATATTTTTATCTAAAGAAGTTCTAGAAAACTATTCAGTATGTGTTTTCTGGGGGGTAGTGCATTAATACTTACAGATTAGAAGATATTACAACAGTAGTCACACTTAAGATAATGCTTCTATTTAATTGCCTATTTTTTTCCTACACTTAGATACAGGGAAGGTAGAATTCTCTTTTAAGCAAGAAACTCCTCTATTTTGTGTTGAAGACATTAACAGTAAATTAAATTAAAATTTTAGTTTAAAATTCTGGTAGGTTTTCCCCAACTTCCTGACACTTACCTTCCCAGCCTTAGTTGAAAATTCTCTATATAGCAATAGATAAACAAGACTAGTTTCACTCATATGGCTTATTGGAACTGATGTAATAAAGTGACTTCAAGAAGAGGTAATTCTAAACAGGACTAAGAAAAAGAAGTCTAAAAAGAGGCACGAAGGCTACAGTTCCCTATGTAATAACTTAAGGACTTGACAACTCGTGGTTAATAAGGATCTGCCACTGGCCCCTGCACACCCACCTGGCAGGGACGATGGAGGGAGTGGAGGGCAAATCCCACTGTTTTCACCACAGTCTGCAAACACGTGTTCTGAAGCCTGTTTCTCACCATCCCATGCCTTTGTTTCCAGGGCAGCAGCGTGAGATCCCCAGGGTCTTCTATATGCTGGCTCGAACTCTCCACAAGGGTCGGGAAAGGCCATACTTGGCTTTTCATTGGTTTCACTTGACTTCAGATCATCGCATGCTTCAATTTCCGGGTCTTTTGCATACTGATCTTCTTCATAGGGAAATGCATGAGTCTGGGCTAGGAGTTTTTTTTCTGTTTGACTTTTGGAACTCTCAGTGTCACTGTCCAGAACTTTCTGATTCCCTGTACCTTTCCTGAGTCGACGACATTTCTGTCCCCAGCTCTCCGTAAAGTGTGGTCCAGTTGCCACCAGCATGGGGTTTCCCTGAAGGTTTCTGAGGGTGCTCCTGTGGAAGTGCAGGTCGCTGGTGGGGAGCATGCTTCTGGCATGGTAGGCAGCTGGGCCCGCGGGGATACTGGAACCATAAAGGAATGGCACCCCCAGGCCCGCTAGGCCCTTGGCATTAACTTTTTCCATTCTCCTTTGCTGGTAAATAGCATACATTTCCATTTCTGTCCTAAAAACAGAACAATATATCTTATACGTCCTAAGAAAACCATTAGAAATATAATTTAATGTCCTCTTGCCTTCCCCAAAGTATCACCTCTGCTTCTCCTGTGTCCTCTCACTGTTTATCTGAACTTTGTCCAGTGGAAACACGAATCCCCCACAAGGCCACTGGGAAGGAGTATGGAGTAAGATCTGAAGGAGGAGCATTTGTCTCAATCTCACAGTGGAAATCCAAGGTCAGTTTTTAGAACGTAACTTCTAACAGGGCAAATTTCTCAGGGAGGGGAGTGACGCAGCACAGGGAGTTTCTTGCCAGAGATTAATTCTCAAAAAAGAACCTAAAGTACTGGGAAGAGGTTTTTAACACATTAACTGCCATGACAGTTGTATTTAACTCACTCTAGTTTTCACCCCAGAGCTGCAGAAAGCATCTATAAAATCTTACCTGTTGATGTTCTTATTGTTACAATTAATATTGACAATTTAATTCTAAAAGCGTGGAGTAAATGAATAGAAGTCAAGACATTTCATTTTTCTATTTATGTTTACCTTTAAATTACACTTGAAGTTGTTATTCTATTTTTGTAATAAAACACTGTGGTTTTTTTGTGTGGCAGTCAATGTGTTAAACTCTGCAGAACAATGTTAGTGGGCAATTAGACGATGCAAGTCTCAGTGTTTATAAATCAATGCAAGCGGCTGGCAGAGGAGGAAGGGAAAGAGTTGCTGGTGCTTTTGCTAACTTCCCTTTGCTCATGGGTCATCACCTGGACCACTTAGGGTTCCGTGTTGAAAAGACTGATGCTATGTCTCCTCTCACCCTGGAGCCACGCTGCAGTCATCGCTGCTGCAGCCGAAGGCCACTGGGGGCTGACATGGGGTTGGCTGAGCTCTGATGGCGTAGTCTGGAGTTGGGTTGGCAAACTGGCTCCTATCTTTGGGTCAAATTGAAGTCATTTAAGACAGAAATACCAATATGAATTTCAGAGGAATCATAGCTGTGCATTTTAATTACGAGACATTGATAAACTATTACAATCTGTGGGCCTATACCACTGTTAGCTTCACTATGTGATTTCTAATCTTGCTTTTATCTTTAATCAACCATATATAACAAACAAATGAGCAAGTGAATGAATAGAAAATAAATAAAACAACATTGCTAAATTACCTGGCAGTATGATGCCTTTGAATCATTTCATTCCTTCTGGCCACTGCCTTTACGGATTCTGGTGGTAAAATGCCCCAACCTTAAAAAAAGAAAACCACCATTCCACCCCACAAACAAATTAAAAACGTGCATTTAAAAATAATAAAATATAATGATTTAAAACAGTTATCTTAAAAAAAAAAACAACCCACCAGTTGAGCACAATGTTAGAAATGGTATCAGATTGTTGCTGTTCAGTATCTTAGAGTCACTTTGGTGACAATATGATAAACACTAGATAATTTTTTGGTTCTTTTCTTTAATCGCTGGTCTCATGATTGGTGACATTTTCATGCCATATTTCAAATGAGAAAAGATGAAATGATTTGTGAACCTCTTGATCTCTTGCCTTTTTGGGTCTTTTTTATTGTATATATTAATATTTACAGATACAATGTGATGTTTCAATATGTGTAGACATTATGGAATGATTAAATCAAGCAAATTACTATATGCCTTACCTCACATACGTATTTTTTGTGGTGAAAAGATTTAAAATCTACCCTCTTAACAATTTTCAAGTATATAGTATATTGTTATTAACTCTGTTCATTATTCTGTACAATAGATTTCTAGAATTTATTTCTCCCGTGTAACTAAAACTTTGTACTCTTTGACCAACATCTCCCCAGTTATTCCCACTTCGATCTCTTGTTTTTGAGGTAAAACCGACTATTTTTTTTTACAAGAGGAATTAGTTGACCTTACTTTTTTTTAAAGTACTGCTTCAGAAAGACAAATGTTGCATGTTTTTACTCAGATGTGGGAGCTAAATATTAAAACAATTTATTTCAGGGAGACAGAGAGTAGAATGGTGGTTACCAGAGGCTGGGAAGGGTAGCGTGGAGGGGGAAACAAAGTGGGGATGGTTAATGGATACAAAAATGTAGATAGTTAGATAGAATGAACAATATTTGATAGCACACCAAAGTGACTATAACCAGGGCATACTTTAAAATAGCTAAAAGAGTGGAATTGGAGTGTTCCTAACACAAAGAAATGATAAATGCCTGAGATGATGTACACCCCAATTACCCTGATCTGATTAATTCACATTGTATGCCTATAACCAAACATCACATATACCCTGTAAAAATATACAACTATTATGTACCCATAATAATTTTAAATATAAAAAATTTTCAAAGTCCTTTCTGATGTACCGAAATCCCAGAAAATAAATGCAATGAGGATTTAAGTGGATAAAATAAATTTATATGAAGTCTCTGTATAGATTTTTCAGTGTATTTGAGGTAAAATGCTTTTTCCAGAATGATTTCAATGGAGTTGAGCAGCAGCTACATCCTTTTTTGCTCATGACAACCTTCCAAAATATCTTGAAATGACAGCAGCATCACCAGATTTCAAGGCTCTGTTCTTGCCTGGTAACTTCAAGCTATCGTGATTTTTTCCTTTCTCTGGACTCCTAATGCACTTAGAATCTATCCTAGTGCTTTTCTGACCATCTATGGTGAAGGACCAGTTTTTTCCTTATTTTTCTTTTTACATTTCTATCCCAGTATGGATCGATACTTTTAAAAACTACAATAAAATGAATTCCTAGGAAATTGAAATGAAAACAAGGACAAATACAAGCACAATTTAAAAATTATTAGATTAACAGACATAAAATTACCCTGTCAAATTGCTATAAAATTTTCCTTTTTTTTTTTTGTTTTTGTTTGTTTGTTCTTTTGAGACAGAGTCTCGCTCTGTTGCCCTGCCTATAGTGCAGTGGCATCATCATAGCTCACTACAACCTCCAACTCCTGGGCTCAGGCGATCTTCCTGCCTCAGCCTCCTGAGTAGCTGGGACTACAGGTGCACACCACCACGCCTAGCTTATTTTTTCTTGTTTTAGTAGACACAGGGGTCTCTCTCTTGCTCAGGCTGGTCTTGAACTCCTTACCTCAAACAATCCTCCCAGCCTTGGCCTCCCAGAATGCTAGGATTACAGGCATGAGCCACTGCACCTGGCCACTATAAAATTTTCTAAGCCCTTACTCTCTCTTATTTGTGTAGATACGTCACAGACCATTACTGGTCTACAGATTGTATTCTTTAACAATGATATTCATACAAACTGTATTTATTATACATGTAAGTCTGTTCTCCTAATAAGAGGGTAAGCATGATGAAGGTAGAAATTGTTTTTTATACTCACTTTGCACCAAGCCAGTAGAGCTCATTAAATTCCTGTTAATAATCTATTTTGAAATAAACCATACTATATATTTTTTTTCAATGAGGTTTTTGTTTTTTGTAAAATTCAGAGGTCAGATGAGGTGACCTCTAGGAATCCTTCTAATCCTGAAGCTCTAGGTTTTTTACAGTTCAGTGACTTCAAGATGTTCTCTTTTAGATAGCTGGCATGCATGAAACTACCGACCACAGCATATTGCCCACGGATGCAGAGCGAGCTATGTAAGGAGTCCAGTCTAGAGGGCACTATACCAATTGCCTGGAATTTAGGACCCTCTGAAATCTGGACTCACAAAACCTATTCCTCTTCTTTCTCTTTCCCAAATAGGCAACATCAAACTTAATGCTAGTTCAGCTGTGCTGATACACTCCCTACCTAACATCCCGATTTTTGAAATAGATCCCCATCTTAGTTTCTATTTTGCTAACTTACTTAGTAGCTCAGTTTCTGTCGGACTGAGGCCCTATCTTGCCCTTGCTACACTCTTGCACTTCAACCTTGAAGAGGGAGACCTGCCCTATGTGCCTGGGACAAGTGCTCTACCTGCCTGTTTGTATATCCAAATATTGGCAATTTCTGGAGTTTTCATCACGAAGAGTGAGTCAGCAATGCAACTATTTCACTAGTCCATTGACCTGTTGCCTATAATCATGGGCTACAGATTACTGGGCTCTTGCTGCCAGACAGGGCTTCCTTCCAGGATCTGCCTTCAAGACTGTCTCCTTTGGTCCTTAGACCACTTCTTTGGATAGATCTAATTTCAGATATGGCCGTTGCTTGGACGCCCACTCTCAGTGCAGTTAAATGGATTCATGCCCTGTGATGGGCAGCAAGCTCAAATCCAGGCAAGCCGGTCTCGTCACTGGCCCAGGCATGAATCACATTTCTTTTTGTGTCAGGCTTTTCACTCACATTGTTCACATCTATTAAGAGTTGTTGGAATTGTGGAGCAGGGACAAACAAACTCACGAACATAGTTTTGGGGAGATAAGGTGCACAGTTTGATTTTCAATGTTGTGAGAAAATTCTCACCTCCTAGTCTTTCCTGAATCCCCACCAGTTATGTTTTCACCAATGCGACTCTACTAAAATTGCTTGTATCAAGATCACTGATAACCTCTTCACAGTGCCAAATATAATATGTTCTACCTTGTGAGTGACATACTTGACACAATTGCTCACTCTCTCCTTCCAACACTTTTCCCCCTTGCCTTCCATGCCACTGTGCTCGCCTGGGTTTCTTCCTCTCTCACCAGTGGCTCCCTTGCTTGTTCTATTTCTCCTTTGCTTGGTCTTCCTCATTTTCTGGACACTCTTGGTGTGTCTCAGGGATCATCCTTTCAACTCTTCTATCTACACTCACTCCCTAGATGATCATATCTAGCCTCATATATGCTGATGACTTCCAAAATTATATCTCCAGGTTGTCCTCAGAAGTCCTCTTGAACTTCAGAGGCCTTCCTGACATCTCCACTTGGGTGTCTATTAGGCATCTCAAATGTAACATGAGCAAGCTGTGCCTCCTTTATCTCTCCCTCCTCAAGAATTCTGTTCCTTTCTATATCTTTCTTAACTCAGTGAATAGCAGCTCTATCTTTCCAATTACTCAGGTCAAAATTTTTGATGTCATTCTTGATACCTCTCTTTCTTTCACTATTCATATCCAAATTGTGAGGAAATCCATTGTTTCTACCATCAAAATAATTACAGAATCCAACCACTTCATATTATTCCTACTGCCACCAACCAAGGCCAAACCATCATCTTTTGGCTATTCCAATAGTCCATTAACTCCCATAAGTTTGTTCCTAGAACTTTGATCCTAGCAAGTCTGTCCCCATCTCAGCAGCCAGAATAATTCTGATAAAATTTAAGTAAGATCCTGTCACTTCTTTGTTCAGGCTCCTCAAAGCCAGTACTTTTACTGAAAATAAAAGCCAGTTTCTCACTATGACCTATCAAGCTGAATATAAACTTCCCTAGCCCCATTAATTCTCAGATCTCCTCTCCACATGTATAGGTTAAGACAAATAGTAATATTGCAGTTCTTTATGTTATTCATTTTTTTAATTCTTCATGTTAGTCATGAATAAATTAATGTTTAGATAAGTTAGTTAACTGACTTACACTTGATTACACAGTAGTGGTACCACAATCTGAACTTAGGTAACAACTGTAGAAACTACATGCATAACCACCACACAGTTCTTCCTCCAAAATTCAGCAGTGAAATGATGGCAAACTTAATGCATCTGTCCAGTTCACAGTGGCTTTACAGATGAGGGCCAAACATCTGTTGCTCATACCTGAGTAGACACGATTGGACAGCATATTTGCATTTGGTAGAACAGAGGATCCAAATTGGGAAGGAACACAAAACTGTCTTGGATCAGTTGGAGCTACAGTGGAAGGCAATACATCTCTAGGAAAAAAAAAAAGATATAAAATAGGTGAAATGAGGCTGGAGTTGCATAAAATTTCCATTACTTAGACAGTGAGATTTCTTTATTGCCATATGGGATTCTTTTTTTTTAGACAGAATCTCACTCTGTCACCCCGGGTAGAGTGCACTGGCATCATCATAGCTCACTGCAACCTTAAACTCCTGGGTTCAAGCGATCCTCCTCTCTCAGCCTCCTGAATAGCTGGGACTACAGGTACATGCCATGATGCCTGGCTAATTTTTCTATTTTTAGTAGAGACAGGGTCTCTCTCTTGCTCAGGCTGATCTCCAACTCCTGAGCTCAAGCGATCCTCCTACCTTGGCCTCCCAGAGTGCTAGGATTACAGGCGTGAGCCACCGTGCCCAGCTGTCGCCATATGGGATTCTATCATCTTTTCCCAAAATGAAGTAGAAAAGTCCTGCACTCTATAGGTTTAAGTTGAAATATAGTAAGAAAGATTAGGAGGAAGAACTCTACTAAGGAAGGATTGACCCTGCTGACAACAAAACAGAGAAAGAGGAAAAGTTAAGTTTTAGGGATGTCTGGAAAAAAGATATAGTCAAATCAATCAAAATCTCTGATTTTTTATGACCAATTCTGCTCTGATGGCAAATTCTTTTCTCATTTAATGGACATACTTTGGTTGGGTTTGCCATCTGGAATTGATGTTTGACAACCTGGGTGGACAAATTATTTATTTTGCTAAACTTCAGTGGTCTCTAGACATCCGACTTTGTTGTTCACAACCCATAAATAAGAATAAATAATGGGTCTTACTTTCTCCCCAGAATGCCAAAATATTCTAAAGAAGGGAAGATAGGATACTGCCAAAGTATGCAAAATTTACTTATAATTTCATTTTTATTGAAAAGAAAAAAATTGTTCTATCACAGGAAATCCAGGATACCCAATTGTTATGAACTTCACTGTTTTCCCTCCAAATTCATATGTTGAAGCCTTAACCCCCAACGTGACTGTATTTGGAGATAGGGCCTTTAAGAAAGCAATTAAGATTAAATGATATTATAAGGGTGGTTTTTGTTTTGTTTTGTGTTTTGTTTTGTTTTTAGATAGAGAATTGCTCTGTTGCCCAGGCTGGAGTGCAGTGGCATAATCATAGCTCACTGTAACCTCAAACTCCTGGGCTCAAGTGATTCTTCTGCCTCAGGCTCCTGAGTAGCTGGGTTTACAGGCATGTTCCACTGGACCTGGCTAATTTTAATTTTTTTTGTAGAAACAGAGTCTTGCTACATTGCTCAGGCTGGTCTCAAACTCCTGGTCTCAAGTGGTCCTCCTGCCTTGGCCTCCCAGAGTGCTAGGATTACAGACATGAACCACTGCTCCTGGCCTGGTGTCTTTTTAAGAAGGGGAAGAGATGTCAGATCTCTCTCTCTCTCTCTCTCTCTCTGCAAATGCTCACTGAGGAGAGGCCATGTGAGGACACAGTGAGAAGCCATCTGTCTGCAAACCAGAAGATAGGCCTCGCCAGAAACCAACTCTGCGGCACCTTGATCTTGGACTTATAGCCTCCAGAGCTGGCAAATAAATTTCTGTTATTTAAACCATCCAGTCTGGGGTGTTTTACTATGGCAGCCCTAGAAGACTAATACACCAGTGTTTGTACCCACACAATGCCTGTAGCATGGTAAGTGCTCCTTAGCTATTTGCTGAGTGAATAGGTCAAGCAGACCTCTAGGGGAAGGATGGCAGCTGTCCTGAAGGAGAGGCCAGCGGAGCACCGCAACTAGAATTACTGCACCACAGTTCACTGAAATAACATTAGGCAATAAAACAACGCTGGGGTTAACAGCGTTCCAAAACTTAATAATTATCTGGGTTTTTTTTCATTGAACTATTATATGGGAGAGAAATACCTGTCCGCAGTTGGAGGTCCAAATGGTAAGGGAACCAGTGGGATCCTCTGCTGCCCTGAAGCTGTCAATAAAGGGTTCATGGCCATCATTGGGTTTGTCATCAACATCTCTCGCCACTGATGAAGTTCTAAAAAAACCCAGATAGACTCATTAACAAATAACTCTACTTTTTGTAAACTATTTGAATTCATCTTGAACACAGTGAAAGCCCTTTGTATTTTCCTCACACTTGGGAAGACTGGCTACAACAAGCTTTTAGTTTCACAAAAACCCCAGGTATAACTGTTGAACTCAGTGTTTTATCAGTATGCCCTTGGAACTTGTTGCAGAGTCCACAGGTAATACCATACCACTCTACAAGCAATAATAAAATTAAACCAGCTTTGCAAGATTCCAGAAATACCAACTTCCTTTCTTACAGCTTATTTTGATTCTTATATTTCCAGAGGGATAAACGCATTAATTCTCCCATATGTTCAATCTTTGGAAAATATTTCTATTCAGTTGATAAGATTAAAACAGAAAATGAAGGGGGAAAATCTTCTTACTGTCTAAAAATATATCTAATTAGAGTGGATAGAGGCTGACTGCATGAGATTGTACTTAATTAGAACAAGTGACCGAATTATATCCAAGCTTACATAAACACAAGTATTCACATGCATTATCTTCAGAACCTTAGTGGTTAGAAAAAGGGACTGTTGTTAAAGGGATAATATTTTGCTTTACATTTTCTTGTTAATTATTAATAGCATTTGAATAATTTTAAATATTAAACAAGTACTAGTCAAACAGGTCATTTTAGCTTCTCCTTCATCCTTAATCATCACTTTTTAAAAAAAAGAATCTGAGATACCTACAACTGTGTTTGATGAAAAGAAAATTAGAAAGGAAATGTTCAGCATTTCAAAGTAGTGATCTTTCTTTCCTTCTTTCCTTTTTCCTTCCTTGTGTGTTTATTTGATGCAATTTTTAAAATCGTTAATTCATTTGTATGATTCAAAAGCTAAAGATTTAGTGCTATTTAAATATGTAGTCACTTCTTTAGCTTCTTTTTCAGACCTAACCCTGCAGATCAAATTGGAAATTCAGGTCCATTCAGAACCTACCATTGGCTTTTGCCATTATATATATATGTATATATGTATGTATCTATCTATCTATCTGTATATATAGTTCTCTATCTCCATTTATTTTCACTGTATATCTGTCAGGTCAGTATAATTTCCTCTCTGATAGTGGCCTTAGAGAGGTTAGTGACCACGGCATAGTCAGGATTAGAACCTGTAAGCCGTGGAGAATGCCAACGAAGAATACAGGCTGGGTCAGATGTGGGCTGGACTTGTTGCTCTGGCGAGGACCCTGCCCCGCAGCTTGAAATCTCAGGTGCTCCATGTGAGATTTGGTGCACAGCCACCTTCTCCCCCAAGACCATTGTACAACGGAACAATGTGAGACACAACTTGGTGTTTCATTTTGAAAAATTGTTGAACTTTGATTTATGTCATGAATTGATGGTCTCTAGCACAAGTTTGAACTGACCCATAAGTGAGATAGAATTTTTGAAGTTATAAAATGTAGTGCTATAGGCACTATGTTGTACGGTTTTATTCATCTAGCATAAAAGAAACTTTATACCCATTGAACAGCAACTCCCCACTCGCCCCATCCCCCAGCCTCTGGCAACCACCGTTATATTCTCTGCTTCTACGAATTTGACTATTTTAGACCTTGTAGAAGTGGAATCATGCAGTATTTGTCCTGCTGTAACTGGCTTTTTCACTTAGCATAAAGTCCTCCAGGTTCATCTATTGTGCACTTCAAAATTTGTTAATAGAGTAGATCTCATGTTAAGTGTTCTTACCACAAAAACAAACAAACAAAAACAAAGGGACACCAGGAAACGTTGGGAAGCATCGGATATGTCTATTATGTTGCTTGTGGTAGTGGTTTCATGGGTACATGCACATGCCCAAACTCATCAAATTGTACACATTAAAGATGTGCAGTTCTTTTATGTCAATTATTCCTCAATAAGGCTGTTTAAAAATACAATGCTCTGCTTGCATTCTATGTATCGTCGGAGACAAGTCAGAGGGAAGGAGAAGAAAAGGAAAAGGAAAAAAGGAAAAGGAGCAAGAATTGCTTAGAAGGGAGAGAATTGCTTGTCTTCCTCAGGCATGTCACCTTTGCAAAAAGCCATGCAGATGAGACTGTCTTACTTTGGGATCCCCAATAGTTTATTTGGGAGATGGTCCTAGGAAGCCCTAGGAATAGGGAAGTAAGACCCGGAAGGAAAAAGCCAGTAAGGGGTGAGTTAATGTGCAGGTTGTCACTGTGGGCAACTGGTGCTCAACCCCGCTGGGGATCCTCTAAGAAACCTTGTGGTACATGCCTCAGAATTGTCCTCATGAGGGACAAAATGTTGGCCATTTACCCATTGATATCTGTTGGCCATTGGTTGTGGGCACAATTCTCCATTGCATCTGGGCCATGCTTGAGCTAGACACAGCAAGTTCCTGTGGTGCGGGAGAAACCACAGGAACTTCAGGCTGAGAAACAGAGATGCAGGTGCTTGAAATGGGAAAAGACCTCCCTGGTTGCATGTAACTCAGAGGGAGGCCAGGGAGATGTAAGGTAGGGCAGCAACAGTGTCTAGTGCTATGGAGGCAACGTGGTTACCTTCTAATGTCATTCCACTAGATAATTGACACAAATGCCTTTCTTCTGAAATACCAGGTTCACCAGGCATAGGCATATTTCTGCGAGGCTCTGTAGGGTCCATTCTCTGCAACAGCACAGCAGGATTTTTTTCACCGTTAGTCACAAGTTCAATGAAGTAAGTGGAGAACTCAGTGCTATCAGGCCAATGGGAAAAGAGGCATCAGAGACAAGTCTCATCTAATTTACCATTAAAGTCATCCTTGGAACCATATTTGTTCTTAATTCCATAGTCCTTGGGTCTGCCTTTCTTTCTTTTTATAATGCTAGAAAGGTTGAACCTAATCTATAAAATTTTATTACATTTCCCATATGGTGATTTATTTTTTAATCAGTCCACCAAATTTTTATCTAAAATTCAAGCTATTTCCAATGTCTACAGAAATGTCCATAAGTCATGGAAGTCCCTGGGGAGGACAATGAGTCATTGACATCTGTAATACCTGTGTGTTACAGTTCTGGGCTCCACTTGGCTTCCCTCATTTTTTTTCATCATTGTATTTGTGAATTTGTATTTATTTATCACTATCATATCTATCGATGCCCAGATTTTCTTAAAAAAAAACAAAAACATTGCCTTGCTTCATGTTATGGCCATTATCATTTGTATGCTCCAAATTATATATTATATATTTTTATTTTTTAGAGCAATTTTAGGTTCATCATATACTCCCCCGCCCCCAACACACACACGCACAGCCTCCCTCACTGTCAGCATCCTGCACCAGAGTGTATATTTGAGCCTACATTGACAATCAATGAGCCTACACTGACACATCATTACTACCTAAAGTCCATAGTTTACATTTGGGTTCACTTTTGGTGTTGTACGTTCTGTGGTTTTGATGAATATATGATGGCATGTATCCACCTTTATAGTATCACACAGAATAGTTTCACTGCCCTAAACCAAATTATATTTTAAAGCAAATACAATCAGAGTACTTTCAAGGCAATGTTCTGAGGTTAATCTGAGCTTTCCCTTCATCAGCCAGGCAGATACTTAAAGCTCCAAATCTATGTTGCTCCAAAACTATCATTTTGGGGTTATCGAAGCATATGATCAATCTGTGAGTCTTTAAATATTAACTTTCACATTTTCAGGGTATCCACTTCTAGTTTAGACACATGTAAACAAATTGTGAACTAAGGTCATTTTGCTATAGCAGATGAAATGCTCTTGAGTAAAAGTGCAGACTAGGATATAAATTTTAAGTTCAGAGCTTGTCTAATAATCCCAAAGTGGGAGGGTGCAGGGGTGCTTAGGTCTGCATTCAGGCTGGATTTCTCTGACCCAGAGCTCTAATCCTGGATGCACAGCACATTAGGAGGATGAGGACCCCTTAATCTCTGTCTTCAGAGTCTTACCCTCAACAAACCCCTCCAGGCAGCACATAGACGATTTAGCTAGTGCTAATTCTGTCTCAACTGATTAGGGCAGTAGTAGTAAGACATGAACTTCATGAACTGAAGCCCTTGCCACATCAGCACATATTTACTGAATGCTTGCCTAGTGCCTGGTAGCCAGGTGCTGGTTTGATTGTATTTGTCTCTCACTGGCTGTACTATGATGATTCATTAAAATCAGTGCAATTGAGTTTAGCAAATCCTGGATTTGAGCAATTATATATATAATGTTT